TCACCTGTAGTTTTGAACTCACCATTCATAGAAATTGACTATTGCATGGAAGCTTGATTTAAAAACAGATAGGAGAATGCCAAACTTTTCTAGGCTGACCTGACCGACAGCAACGCTTATAAAATACCAAAGCCAACAATGCCTGGGCACTTTGCAAGAGCTGTGGCCTGGACCTGCTTGCTTTCCCCTCCTTGCTTCTGGAGTACAGGGGAGGTTGTTCTTTTGACCATTTTCATTTCAGTTCTCAGCTCTTCAAAGGCGGCGAAGCCACGCCTGACACTGTTCTGGACTTCTCAGATCCTTCCAAGCCTCATCTCCCTTGAGCCCAATCTCAAGTTTTGCCTAAAATTGGAGGAAGGCTGAAGAGGACTGGCAGTCAGCAGGGAGGGGCACTGGGGGCACTAGTGTTCAGGAAGGAAGTGGGATCCAGGTGAAGCCAGGTCCTGAGTCCTCCTGGCTCCTCGCTGTTAGCTGGGGACTGCCCTTCCCCCAGGAAGAGTGTTCACTCCTAAAAGGTAGCAGTCACTCCTGGCTTCTAGCATTTGCTTTACCACAAATGGCAGGAACTGCGTAAAAGAGATCATTCACACACATCGCTTTACTCCCCTCACTTAATTCAGTGGCTACAAGCAATTCAGAAATTTTCTTTTATTAAAAAGAATATCAAAACCAACCTTCTTGTCTGAGCCAATATTGAAACCCTTACACATCTCTCCCTTCCTCCCACTCTGCATGAATACCAAGAAAAAAAAAATTCTTGGCTTGTTTTCTAGACAGCACTCAATGGCAGATACACCAAAATCAAGAGATGCTTGTCTCTTAGTCACAAGACATGGCCTGTGGCTTCCCCTGCTAAGAGCTGCGGCAAGGTGAGGCTCCCTGGAGCTATTCTTCCCTGCGTTCCGTCCTGTTTTACTTTGACTACGAATCTACTTGGGAAAGGCTGTCCAACTCTGTACTTGAAACGCTCCTCTTCTGCTCTTACCACTTCAATGTAATTATTCAAAGTGGAATCATTTAATTAGATAGGAAAAGAAACAGCAAGCCCAGAGACGATAATGAAGACTGGAGCGAATGTGCTGGGCAGCCAAAGCTACAGGTAAGACAGCAGCTGTGCCAGGCCTTCAGCTCGACTCAGGGAACAGGATCAACAGCCATATATGCTGGCTTTTGCTGGAATTAGTGTTAAGAACAAAGCTAGGAGAGCTGTCCCGGCTTACTCCTCGTGTGACTCAACTCCCCGGGCGAGGAGGAGGAAGAGAGATCAAAAATAGGAAGGAGTGACAGAGATGGCCCAGGCCACAGGCATTTGATGTGGAAATGGGGAGTGACGGAGGACTCACCTGTGGAGGACAGCTTGTTCTACACCCACTGGACCTGTTTGCTTATCTGATTGTCACGTGACTATCAGGGCACCATAAAACCATCCACTCTCCCCCAGGAGGGGAAACCACTGTGGATGCCAGTCATGTAAACATCTCAAAGAATTCATCGGAAGAAAAATACACCTATATTTTCACTCCCAAAGGACTTAACTTTCCTCAGTCCTCTGGCTAGATTCCAGAGTGTCACAATGAATGCTGGCGCCTCCTCTACTCATCTGCTTGCCCCCACCCTGCCAAACCACTGACCACAAATAGATAGATAAACACATCTTTTCTTTTAGAAATACCACATCAGGATACTTTATTCATGGAGCTCTGTCCACGGTACTCTGTGTGCTCGGGTACTCACACACTAAGACTTTGTGTTCGTCGCGTCCAGCTGTCACTCAGTTACAAGATTACACACATTTTATAACGTTTGGCGATTTTAAGGACTTAACAGTTTTTAAGTAACATTTAAACTGTCTTAAGTAGAAACAAAGGACTCTGCCCAATAAGCTCTATTCACTGAAAACAAGTGTCCGAGACAGAAGCAGTCTGCCCTGAGGCGGCCCTCTCCCCGGCCTTGGGTTGGGTTCTTTGGTGGATGACTTTGGGAAACAGTCCCATTGGCCCCTCTCCCCCACGCAACCATAGCCGACTTTCCTTTGGCTGGGTTGGAGGCTCACAGGGAGAAGGCTTCCCTCCTCAAAGCCTGTTAGCTGCTTTCCGTTTGCTTCACTTACCAGTTAGCTTTGCCTAGGCAAAGAGCTGAAGTGAACCGTCTGGTTGTCCATGCTCACACAGTACCCTCACATGTGTGGGACTGCAGGCACCACCAGGGACCAACAAGCAGTGGCACAGCAGCTACTGTGTGCACCGTTCGGACGCCTCACAGTACTTCTCCGTACAGCAGTACCGAATTCAGGGGACGGGGAGGAGGTACTGGACTTGGCCACATAAGTTACTTCCTAGGACCTTGGGACAAAATTTCCTAATCAGGAAAGCAAGTGACAAACAGGATTCACCGCACAGGCTGTTGTTGAGAACTGAAAAAAAGTACACAGCATAGCAAACAGTGAAACAGCCAGTAAAGTCGGCTATTATTATTATTATTAAATTGTTACCATCACATTCAACGTGACTGAGCAGTCTTATAACGGACTGCATGGGGCTGGGAGAGGAAGGCTGAGGGTGGAGGTCAGCTTATTTGTGGGAACCCTGTCCCAGTCTGAGGCAGTAGCTTATGTAATTGGCAGGCTTTGGCGTCATTAATTTCTCTGAGTGCCCATGTGACATATTTCTCAAATGAGAGGTAAATTGCTGTTGCAGCTTCGCATGGCACCTGCTTCTACTTTAACAGGAGTGATACTTTTATATTACAATAAACAGAAAACAGACAAGTGCAATTGGGAGTAAGGGGTAATGAAAAACTCCTGGACAAGGGGAGGGAGACCTAGGGAAACAGCATCCGGAGTCGAGATGTCGAGAACGCACTTGAGAGAGGGCTTTCAGGGAGATGTCTGTCTCCATAGCTTTGCCATATGCCTAAGTGTTTCGAGTGCTCACCGCCTTGCCAAACATTATGGTCTGAAGTTAAGCAGGACCTGGCTGGGGCTGTCTGCAATGGCCCCCTTTCATCGGGGGCCAACAGCGCCCACATTAACATGATCATAGGACTTCTGAGAAAACAGATGGTAGAGTTTTTTCTTTTCTTACCTTTTTTTTTTTGCACAATAATTAAATTATAGTTGGACCTATGAAGCCTTTCCTCTCAGGGTTTTTCTTTTATTCCTTTTGACACAGGATGATGCTACGTAGCCCAGACTGGCCTGGATCTTTAGATTTGCTTGCCTCTATCACGGGCATGTGCCACCACACTTGACTCTGAAATTCCTATCAGATCCACCTAAGGTGAAAATCTACAAGGTTTGTTTCCAAGGTGCAGGGTAGGGACAGGGTCTTCAGATGCCGCCGAAGGGGAATGAAGGCACTGGTGACTTGGGATGGTCTGGAAAGGGGAGCTAAGTGTCTGCTCCAAGCTCTTTGGGCCGCCCGCACCTCTCATCTGAAAAAGACACACGACCCTGAACAAACGACGAAAACATGGTTGCCATAGCTCAACTGTGTAGTCATCTACACTCTCATTATCCTCAGCTACTGACAAACCCAGTACTTATGTTGTAGTCCGCTAACTGCAACAAAGCCCCGGTGAAAAGGACTTGGAAAGGAGCTGTAGAAGAATTATGTGTTTGTTTGTTTGTTTGTTTTTCTGGGTACGGAGGTGGCAAGATTTCCCCCTCCCCTTAGATCTTGGTCTTGATCTATTGTGGGTATCAAAGCAGCCCACAGGCATTAATCAGACACATACCCTATGCCCTGCGCCAGGCTGCACCACATCTGAAGGTTGTATCTAAGCAGCATGAGTAGAATCCACCAGTAAAAACAAGGAAGGGCTCCTCCAACACAGCATTAGTGAAAGGCCACCACACCACTCTGTAGTTATTTAGCTCAGCTCAGAAGGATTCTACCAGATATTCTGGCTGGAGGTACACGATAACATGAGCTTTCTCAACTAGTGGACAAACTGCTATGTATCTGAATATAGGTTAAAATGGTAAGAGATAAAGAAGACAAGATTTGTTTTTCTGTATTTGACAGACTGAGCTGTGACTGACAAACATTTTTATGATATGTAGCTATTTGCCCCTCCAACCTCTGAGCGCAGCTAGAGGATCAAGCTTTCCAAGGCTTGATCATGTCTTACCTCATTTCTTCTCTGCCATGTATGCGCTCTGCTTCTGAATATTACCAGATGTACTGAACTCAGGAGAGGCGCCTCTTCTGAAACAGCAGCAGGGTCCTGGCTTGCTGTTTGGAGGCACTGTGCTGACCTACACATTCCCACAGTGCCTCCCTCGGCACCGCGGAGCAGGCTCCGGCTTTTAAACTACGGTGTGGTGTATTCAGGTCAGTTTCTGTCTAGGGACTCAACGCTAAATCCGGATCTGCAGTGTGTAGCTTAGTGCCATTGCCAATCACAACCCTAGATGGTGGCAGAGCCAGTGAGATGGAAACTGCAGTAGAGCCTTGTGCACGAACACTTCAACGACAACCGAAAGGGAGCCATGCTACCGGTGAGGGGCTAGGTCCAAAGTGTTTGCACCCTGACAGAAAATAAAAAGACCCACATGTATCTATTTTACCTACAGATGGCTGAGAAGTGATTTCCCCCTATGATCCTGTATACTGTACGTAATTATCTGTAATTAAACTACAATTAAAATAATCAGTTTAAAGCCAAGTATTCAGAACAACTGCTGGACCAACCAACACTATTTTTCATAAAAGACATGTCATATGCTGAAAAGTGGTAAAACCAGAATGGAGTGAGCTGTGGTTAAGCGTAAACCCTATAGCAATGAAAGTCATTTGTATGATGCTTACTTCTTTGAATAAATTCAGATGACAGCCCTATTTCATTTCTTCATTCAGTTTGGAGGCCAGATGGCATTAGAATCATTTACTTCACCTTGTTGTGCTTAATTACTACAATCAACACACTATTTTCCAAATTAATCATAACAAAGTAATTTCATTAGTAACACAGCAGGCTGTTGAATTATTAGCATCATAACAGTTTGCAAACAATTAAACTTTATTTGAACCTTAAAAATTTGCAGAGTGGAACATTATTGTAAGATCTAATGGCAACAGAGTACAAATTCAGTACAGAGCAAACGATCAAGCAAAATGCCATATAAAATATGACTTACAATCACCTTTCAAAAATTAGCTCTCTAACTGTTCATAGAAAAACAAATAAAAGCTAAGCAAACATAATGAGAACATAACAATTAGCATATTTTCTAACAAGCCGCGTTGTTTAAATTCACATTAATGATGTTATTATGATCTTGAAGAGAATGTGATGAAGTGTCAAGGGTAGAGAGAAACTTCCTCACAGCACAAAAACGAGTTCATCAACAGAACAGAAAGCATCCACGAAGTGCAAGAAACAGCAATTTTTCTCATCTCTCCCAATTTTAAAGGCCTTTGGTTCCAATCTTTTATCTTCCATGTATATTCAAGTTTTAAAAAGAACAAAGGCCAGAGGTGCTGGACAGAAGCAGCGCCCAGCTTCCTTGCTGGAAATGTTGGCCATCAGCTGGCAAAGGACTCCCTCTCCTGGATTAACGGGAAAAGGAGTCAGAAATTTCCTATCCTCTTCTCAGCCGGCCCGAATGGGGGAGGGGCTCCCTAGTGGTGCCATGTGCAAATGACAAGCTGCTGCCATCTGCTGGCCACGTAAGTTAAAGGCACAAAACATGTAATCATAGCCTAGGCTTTTGCTTCTCAACCGCATAGTCTTTGAAAGCCAGCCCACTGAACTCATTTCTGCCTGTCTTAACTTTTTCCAAGATGATTTCCACCTATTTAGATGACACTCTAATAGGAGAAGGGTAATTGGAAAAATGTGATTTCTGAAAACTTTGGACTATGTCTACACAGATAAACCTGAGTTTACTCACAACCCCTAAAGTTAAGATTTTTCTCTTTTACTTTGGAAAATGAGCAGTTGCAACATTTATAGGGTAACAGTAAAATACACACTCTTTACTATAACTTCTAAATAGAGTTTTACATAGTGTCGATTTAAAAATCTTATCAGCCATTTGCATTACTATCTAGAAAGTTAGGCAAAAGTTAGGACTTGGTAAAGAATAATTCAATAGTAGATTACATTTACTCCAAAATATCTAGTCATTAGTGCATTTGGTACAGAGTAAGGCTATCCTGGCCTCTCCAGAAATAATTAAAAATACCCTGATTTTAACTATATATGAAAGGGAGCTGATAGGATTCTACAAACCTTACCCACACAGCAACAGATAGTATGAGGGCCCAGGTCAACCTACCCTTCCACTCACTGCTGGCAACTGTTACCATTCTGAGTCTTTCTTTTCTTTTAAAAACACAGGAGACTTGCTCAGGAGTGCTTTTTGGCAGGGACTACAAGAGCACAGCAATGATGGGCAGCAAGGTAGGAGAGCATCTGGATGCCCTCAGACACACCGAAGCTGCTTTCCACCGCTGCATTAGTGGTAACTGGGGATTTTTATGAACCTGTGACTTCTTTAAATGTAAATAAAATTGTATTAGAAAACAGTGGCAAGACCATCATCAAAATAGGTTTGCGCAGACCGAGCTCCGGCTTGTACTGTGTACCAAGTGCCAGCTCACTGCCACCTTCCTCTGCTTGGAATGCTTCATGTTTCCCTTTGTCAGTTAACAGCAAGTACATGCGTGAATCTGTACAACTTCTTTAACGAAACGTCATTACTCTGTGAGGGATAAAATACTAAGCTAAGTTATCCACACAGCTTTTAAAAGGTCTTTAATATTGACTTGAAATTTACAAAGTCTATGAAATTATATGCAGCACTCTAAAAATAGCTTATGCCCAATGACTAAGAGAAACAGCAGCCTCCACCGGCAACTTAAGTGACTAAGACTCACACATAATCACAATGAATTTTTCCACATAAACTAAATGGGTAAATGAAAACTAATTATTGTTTGCAAGACAGCAACAGGTCTTATATCTACTGCTCGTGTCTGACGTTAACTGATTTCTGCTCAAGTAACCTGACAACAGGAGTAATGAGTGACGACACAGAATAACAGCTGAGACAGGAATGCTCAACCCACACGAGGCAGCTTTGAGCCCCCTTCAGGCTCTCGGGGTTCCAAAGCCAAAGCGCTTGCAGACCGACAGAAGACTTCACCAAAGGAAAAGTTGCATTTTTTTTTTCTTCAGTAGAAATGTTGATTTTTCTTTCCTGCTTAGAAAAAAACAAAACAAAACTAACTTTTTTTTTTTTTTTTTAGTTAAACAAAAATGAATGTTTTGCTCAACAGTTTTCAGTTCATTTCCTCAGAAAGGCCACAAAAGTGCCATTTTACCAGATACTAGGAGGAGGTTTGAGAACACAGCTGGTTATTATCAAAGGAACTTTCTTAAATAATCTGTTCACTTCCAAAGTAAATTCTTTGAAGTTATTTTTAAAAATTAAAGCTGAAGCAAAACAAAATAAAACAGAAACACAAACAGATTTGGGGCACCGTACTTATGTTATCAGAAAACTACAAAGACTTAAAGAGGCAAAGACTCAGAAGGAAGCAACCAAGAACATAAGAGCTATTACAGGATATTGGATTAAAATGTACTTACCCAGACTCTCAAATATCATACATCTCCATTACGTAGGCTTTAGGCACCAAGCCAATGGCTCCCTTCATTTCTCCTACCCACCAGCCATATCTATTGTATTCCTAATTGAAAACAATATGCAGTATTAACCTTTAGGTTGGTGGGCGCACAATGATGTTTGTATGCAACTTTTTAGAAATGTTTTTTTATAAAGTTACAGATGCTGGAACTGCAAATGGTAACGTTTTTTCTTTTTTTTTTTACTTCTGGACAAACCAACCAACCAAACCCAACAACAAAACCCCAACAAACAAACACCAAAAAAAACAAAAAAACAAAAAAACAAAAAAACAAAAAACCCAAAGTAGGTCTCCTGCTGCCGCTGTTGGCAAGTGTTTAAATTACTGTGCAATGCAAAACTTGTTCATTATTGGGCGGAATGCAGAGAATGCAGAAGCAGTCACTTGTGGAAGAACATGGAAAAACGAGAGCAGCAGAAGCCAGCTCTGGGCCTCCCATTCTCTCTAGGCAGCACAGCCTTGTGTGCCTGCCGAAGCTGGGAACCAGAGGAGCTACAAACGCCTTCAGGAAACTTGTTATCTGGTAAGGGTGGGGGTCACTTGTGGGAGTGGAAGGGCACCACAGCAAACTCGGAATTCGGAATTCAGCTTCAGTGGTTTAGAGTTCAGGGGTGCACCTCTTCTCACGAAAATCTAATACTTTAAGCTGATAAAGTGGAGAATAAGAAAAATATTAAAGCTAAAAATTCACAAAGATTAATATAAAATAATTCACAAATGGATTCCTTGAAGACAATACCCCAACGTTTTTTACTGTTCTCTACTGATTCTGGACTGCCTAAGCCTGGGAGGAATGTAAAGGTGTTGGGTTTGCTTGCAGAGTGGAAGATCAATAGGAAAAAGTCTCTCTAGTTAGAAAGGCAAAATATTAATCTGTGAACAGAGTGACTGATGAGGCGCTCTGCACTTTACAATACGAGATAAACAAACCCGGCCCTACTCTCCTTCATTCCCCACTGACAGACATACCATTGCTTTAGGCACCGTGAACCCTCCTTAACCGGCCTCATATGTCTGCCAGATTGACTAATGTATTTTTATCTCAAATTTATTTATGTTTAGTGAGATACAAACAAGTAAAATGAATTACAAGTTTCAAGAATAATATCTTCCAAAAGCAATACTCTCTACCAGCATTAAGACCCAAATTTAATTTTTCATATAAGATAAATTTTTAAAATCAATCCCCAAAGTAATTCAATAGGTTATGATTTTCCAACATCTGAGTCATAGATAAATGTGCATATGCACATTGAGTTATATGTGAAGAAGGGAGGGTTGATAGACATGCAGCCTTAACATTCGTATTGATTTCTATGCTATTGACCATCACAAGGAAAATTATGCTATTCTTCAATACAAATGTAGCAACATTAGCATGTATGTATTGACAGACAGTCTACCTATAAATTAAAGGATAAAATCTATGGCTGCTTTTAAAGTGGTGGGCAGTAGCAGAATTAGGCTTATTCGAAGAACAAAGGGGAAGGGAATGGGAGCAAAAGGCTAAAACCCTGTATTTTTGGTCCTGGTAAGTGTCTAGCACTGGCTCACGAGGCGTGGACTAACAGTGTTAAGTTTAAAAGTTCATCGACAGTGTGACTTAGTGGACAAAGCTGTCTACGCGATGAGAACACTCAGTCCAGAACTCAACAATGATGGGTGTACTCTGCACGGGGCGCACGTGTCAAAAGGAAACATCAATTCACTGAAAGCTCGACTAGCAATCATTGTGCTCTAGGAGGCACCTAATAAAACTGCCCTTTCCAGTTTTTAGGACAATGAATACAATTGGAGCCTAATGTTTAACAAACATGTAAACTTCTACAGATCAAAGATCTTCACTGAGAGATAGCAATTAATAGGGTAACTCTGGGTGTGAAAGTTCTTACCCAATACCAGCCTTCAATTTTTTTTTTTTCCAAAATGATTACATTGGAAGAGTAAAGGGTCTAGCCTGCCAATAGGAGACACAGAAAACACCCAGTGGGAGGGCAGACCACTGCCCCAAACCTGCTGCCAAGGGATTGTGCTTGGCCTGGGAGGCAATGTCAGATTCAAAGTACAAGCCAGAAAGTTCACAGAACTTTACAACTGTCTACTTTGGTTATCATCTGTACTGTCAGCCAAGGATCTATTATTACTCCTAAAACAAGCATAAACCCTCAAGTTAAGATCTTATCCGCCAAGGGCAAATGAGAGACCCTGGGAGAAGTCTGGTGCTATGTGTGGTAATTAACTAGACAGCACAGGAGCAGACAGTAGGCAAGCTTCCTCAGCCATAAACCCTCCCTGCACGGAACATCCCAGGGAGAAAGAAAAATGTTACATTATGGTAATCCTGAGTGCCTCACTAATTTAAAACAACCAAAAATGTATGATGGACACACCTCGTGAAAATGCTCTAAAATATCAGATCTTATTCAGAAAATGGTAAGAATAAAAATCAGAATGTTTCTTGCTTTATGCTTATAAATAATTCCATCTCATACTCCTGTGTGAAATTAAGAGACAAGATAAAATAAAGCAAGATAAAAATGTAGGAGGCAGATTTACAGCTGTGCACTGCAGCCATCAGAGTACGCCGACAACTGCAAACAGGAGCACCCCTTTCCTCTCCGCCGTCCTCTCCACGAGCCTCCCGAGCAACATGAATCCCAATTAAACCATCTGCAGCCCAGAAATTGGGATGAAAACGCTCCTTGGACCATAACAGTTTTCTAAACTTCAGTCTCAAGATTCAACATCACACAAGGTTTCCTTCCAAAGAAGAAAATCAGCATCTCTGTCCCAAACATATGTGATTACGAACAATAGATTACTTAATGGTTAGACATAATGCCATCAGTAAATACTGTGTTGTCTTAAAAGGCACCTAGTAATTACAGCATTGTTCTAGAAAGTCACAGATGGATCATTTTAAAAACACCCCGCAAAATGTAGTAATAGGGAAAAAAAGGGATAAAAAGGTGGTGGTAGGGGTAAACCAGACCGCCATCTAAACCCTGACAGGTTAGGAAGCAGCCCGTCATCCGACTGCACTCAAGAGCTCAGGTACGAGCTCTGCCATCTGGTATCCTTCACCCTATTCAGCTCTTACCATCAACTGAAATGCTAACACAGGCAAGCGACTGTACCTCAGGAGGGCTGATAAAATAATGAAGAGTCCTTTAATCTACAGGAAACCATTTTAGTCAATTTATAAGAAATATTGCATCCCTTTGTAGGACGTGTAATTATTTTCTATTAATCATGCACTATAGAGCTACATTATGCGGTTATTCTGTTATCACTAGGAAGGGGCCTGCAGTCAGCTTCTGACAATGTTGGGTAATTACTAACACAAAGCTGCTTTCTCCTCCCTCGGTAACGCTATCAAGATCCAGAGGTGTAGTGTTGCTTACGGTATAAAAATAGCACTCAGAAGGAATTCGCTATCTGCGAAATGGATGGCTTCCAGGCAAAATGTAACGCAGCAGTCAAAGAGGCAAAAACCAAAGTCAGATTCCCCCGACAAGGCAGGAAATAACGGCAAGACAGCAGTGAGCACTCGGAGCCCGGCTGCCACATCACAACTGCCAAACCACTGAAGCCATCTTCCTTGTTTACAGTTAATATTTACTGGGGTGAATTAAAGTGAGTGGTCAGTGAAGCTGGGAAAAGGACCCATTTTGATAAAGAGAAACACACTTTGTCTAACATGATAGTAAACACATGCTCACACCTGCTCGCTAACTCAGCCTTCCTCTCTGCTGGATAAGATTCCTACATTCAGTTAAATCCTTCCCTGTGCCCGGTCCGGTCCTTCTTTCCTGAGTACATTAATCCATTTTCTGCAAACTAATGAACAAATTCTGCCAGGGTCTAGGGATGGGCCACCTTCAGTCACTTACTGATATGTCTGGCAACAGGTGCTTCAAATGCTGGGCAGTTTCTGTGTCCTTGTCTGAACATACACCCATGCTTTAAAACATGCCAGCCATGCCTTTGTGAAATGAAAGCAATTTCATCTGTGGAATATTAAGAAGCAGTGGATTTAACCTTTATATTCCATGGATTGACTATGGTAATTGCTCCTAACAGTAGCAGTATGAAAACTAAGTTAATGTTTTGAATATATAAATACTTTCTGCAAGATTATCTCATGTGTGTTAAGGAACTTGTACAAATCCTTCCCTTCTCATCCTGTCAATGGTTCCCTTAGCAACACAAGGCCTGGACAGCCACGCTGCCCTACTGTCCCCATCTAACCTCCCTGCTAGTTTCCTGAGCTGCTGAAAGAGGAGATGGGTGTGATCCCCACGGTGATACTGGAATAACACTCCCGGGGAGTGCCTTCCAAAGCTGCACTGAGCTCCAAACAGCTGTGGGATCCAGCACCCTGGTTTATCAGTTACTACTCAGTGTGACTGAGTTCCTCCAATTCACAGACTTCCCTTTCTTTTCGAATTGTCCACTATACTTAACAACAGGAGAAATATGGACAAGTAAGAAAGCATGGAGTAAGAATTTAATTCTCCTGGCAAATTTTAGTTTACATCTCAGATCTGACGTGGCAAATTCAAGCTTTTACAGTCAGTAGATACAATGCTGTGGAGTAAACATGGCCATTTTGCCTGATGCTTCATTGACTTGTTGGGCAAGGAGAGACTGACTGAAGCTTAGGAGAGAGGGCTGGAGTGTCGGGGTTTGTCACCTGTCGTCCACATCTCCACCACTGCTCTGGGGCCCGCCTTCTCCACCTGGACCAGCCGTCACTGCCACTACTCCAGTGCTGGCCTTTACCACCTCACTGAGAATGGCTGCACTGGTACCTCTGACCCTCTGATCTTCCCGAACTATCTGCTTCGGTGCACACTGCTGCTCAAGAGCTCCTCCTCACGGCAGTAACTACAGCTTCGTCTGCTTAGCTGGTTCCCTCTCTGCAACGTTTGCCTACCACTTCTCCAATCTGCTTGGTCCTGCCTGCTACTACACCCATGCCTGTCTGTACTCACGGAGCCCCCTTCCCAGGAGGTCCCCTCCTACAGCCAGATCCTGCC